ATTGAAGGACAGATAGTTCGAAGAAACTTGGGGGCGCGGAGCAGAGCAGGGAGTCCGAGGAGGCTAAGAGCCAGGTCAAGAAAAAGCTGTTGGCTCTAAAAAGAGGGCGGGCCCCTGTGAGGCGCCAGATCGGTCTGGGGGCTTTCTGGGGGAGCAGGTTCGACCACGCCCGAGCCCCGACGACGCGGCCCGCGCGCTGGACTCGCACTGAGAAGAGGTTTTTTGCCCATGCCCCCACGATCAACAGCGTTCGTCTGCTATCCCGTCCCGCGCGCTGTCTTTAACCAGCTGTTTCGAGAACCCCTCTGCTGCCATGTTCAGGGCGAGTTTGAAAATTGCATCATTCTGCCCCTGGGCCCGATGGTTTGCCGCTTGGGTGTCGGCCTGTCCCGGAGGCATCCGGCGCGCTGTTTGGCGCCCGCGAAACGGTTTACGGGAGCGAAGGCGTCGCTTTTCTGACGGCTGTAGGATCGACAGATTTGCTTTTCCACAGAGGGGGATGAGCTCGCAGATCGATGCGCTGGCGTCTCGAGCCTGCTTGAATATATATATATATATATATATATATATATATATATATTCATTTTGTTTCTCTCTCTCTCTCTCTCTCTCGAGCGCGGGCGCCGAGATCCTTTCGGGTGCCTTTTGCATCGGGCTGAATGGGGCGTCGCCCTGAGCGGCCATGGGGCAGCAGCGAGGGGGCGCCAACGGCCGCGACATCCTGGATAATGTGGTTGAGGAGGAGATGTGGGGGCCCTTTGTGTTTGTGCGTGGGCATGGTGAAGCTGGCATTTGATTCGCTTATTTTCGGGCGGGTTTCCCGTCGATTCTCTCGGCGTGGACGTTCCCGCTGCTCAGGGCTACGGGCGCCCCGCATAACGCTATTGAGTTCTATGCGCTTCTGTCTTTGCGTGACATTTTGGCGGTTAACTTCGCGGGTGCTGCTGAGACTAGACCCCGAGTGATGCGCGGGGCCAGGCTGGGGGCGGCCGTCGTCGATGACTCGCTTCTCCCTGGCGTTGGACCCGGCCCTTAGATGGATCGCGCAATTGATGCGGTCGGACCGGCGCGCGCAGATGATTGCTCTTTTGATCTGCAGTAAATCAGCGTCGATCTGATTCCCACGCTTCTATTTTTGGGCCAGCTCTTTTCTGCCGTTAGTGCTGCGCGTTCGTCCGCGGGGCGTCGTCTTGCGCGCGCCCCTCCGAGCGCGCGAGGAGGATTTGGGTTCAATTTCGCGCGATCAAATTCGAGACCCACGCGTTGTACTTCGGGTCCAGCGGTTTCATGACTGAGCTTCGGCAGAGGTTGCGCCGTGTTAGATCTGTGTCTTAGGGGCTACCGACTACTATCCGGCTCCTCCATTAACATTGCGCTTCTGTCCTCCAATGCCGGCGTCATTCAATTAGTTCGCATCGTTCCTGAGGTCGCTGGGCAATACTGGGAGGCTGTGCAGATGTTGAAGGCGGGACATAGGCGCGCGCTAAATCGTTTTTTGCTAACCCAGCACCGTTGCCCTGGGATTTCTTGAATGTGTGGACTGTAGACCGTGTTCGGAGGCTACTGAGGATCGTGTAGCGGAAGGCGATGTGTATGTTTTTCCTTGTTGCTTGTCGTTGGCGAGTACAATGAGGAGGTCTGCCTCGGTCGGCAAGAACACCCCTGGTGGAGGAAGCGATGACTTGATGCACTAGTGAGGAGGCCGCTGAGTTCCCCTCGCCCAACAGTAATCGGATGGGCGTGGAGATCCCGCGCGGGGCGCGCGAATATCTGCGAGGGCATCGAGCGCCGATGGCCCCGCTGCCTCGCCTGCAGGTTCGCGTCGGACGGTGGCTAATGGAAATTGAGATTCCTGTGCTAGTTCGCCGTTGGGCACAGCTCAGTGCTTTCGACAAGGCCGCGTGCGCCCGCGTTCCCATGGGAATTTTTCATCGGAATTCTCAGGATCTTTCCAAGGGTGCCTTGCACATTGGCCAGGTTTCACTGCGCGGACCGACGGCGTTGTTTTGCGCGGGGGGCCTGGCGACCTTCGCCGCTGCAAGCGCTGCCCAGCGCTCGGGTCTTTCGCCATCCCTCGGGCCCCAGGCGTTCAGACCCTGTCGGGGCGATTGCGGGAGTGTCTGGTCGACGACGAATCTCGGTTCTCGACCCATGCCCTTCTGGGGCTTATGTGGGGGCTTGATCGCGACATCGCTGCCGGGGCTGTTCTCGATGCGTTTCTGAAGATTCATGCCCACCACCACGGTGGCACTGCTGTGCCTCCGCAACAGGTGTTTCTCGCTTGTCCTAGGCCGTCGTTGGCCAGGTGATGAGAGAAAGTTGTCTCTGTTTTTCGCAGACGGTCCTGGCCCCGGGATCTCTTGGTTCTTGTGTTTTCCCATTTCAGTTGGTGGGCCCTGGCCCTGCTTTGTGCCCATTTCGCATCCGGTCGTTTCCTGAAGTTGTTGCGCCCCCCTCGCCTGGGAAGCGCGCGCCTAACAGGCCGTGGCCACTGCGTGCCCTGGAGAGAGTGATGGTTGTGATCCGCCGCCCCCAGGTGCTGCGCGGGGTAGTGCTGCGCCCCCTGGCCTTCGGCGGCGCGCTTTTTCTGGCTCCTCGTCTTGGCCCTGCCGCGGCGTCATGGCCTCGTCCGCGGGTCCCTGCATCGGTGTCTTCGCTTACTGGCCCTGGGGGCCGCGGCCCGCGTTCTGTCCTGTTCCTTGCGACGCTGCGTGGTTCACTTGGCGCATTGAGAGCTCGGCGACGTATTGTTTCATGGTTATTTGGGTCCCTGGGCCCTGCTTCAAGTCCGTCTCCTTCCTTGTTGCCGCCTCCCTCGCCGGCCCTCGTTTTGGTTTGTTCCTCGTGCTTGTGTCCCTCGTTCTTCCCCCTTGCCGCTGCAGTCGTCGTCGCTGGTGCTGCTGCCGCTGCCGTTGCGCGCCGTGGTGTCTCGTTGGGTTGGGCTCCCCTTCTGCGCGGGGCGAGGTGGTCGCGGGTCGCTGGGGGCGGCGCGCGCGGGGGAGCGCGGCCGCCCCCCTTGCCCCTTCTGCCGGGCCCGCCCCGCGCCTGTCGACGAGGTGCCCTGCGCGCCTCACTCAGAGGACAGGATCCGCATTGCAGCCGGGTCCTTTCGCGGGCCTCACGCCCCAGACTCTTCACAAACGGAATGGGTACGGAAAGAATGGGTACAATGCCCAACAGCATTTTTTGCTCATTTTGGACAGGACTCGTTGTCCGCGCCGCCACGGCCCGTGTCCATTTGAGACAGAAGGCCGCTTGCCCAACAGCGGCCGCTAGTGGTTTGGGACAACATTAATTGTTGGGCATTGTGCCCATGTCGGGCGTCCAAACAGACGCAGGCGGGAGTGGCGCGCGCAAGTGCCGCTCCTGGAGGTGCATGGATTCATCCCCCCATTGCGTCGAGCGCACGCCCCCGCCCGCGGTCGCGGCCTCTTGCCGCCCCCGTGGGCGGGCGGCCCCGCGGCGACGCTCCGCGCGCGAGGTGCCCAGGTGTCCTCGTGCAGAGGGTGAAGCTTGAGGAGGTGCTGACGTTCGTCAGCCAATGCCCGCATTTTCCCTCCTCCCGCTGCTGCTGCTGCTGCTTCCTCCTGCTCCGTCTCCATTCGGGCGCGGGCCCGTCTGGCGGCGCGCCCTGACAAGGACTTTGGATGATGGAGCGGGGTGCGTGTTCCGCGATGGGAGAACTCCTCCTCCTCCTTTTCGTCCTCCACCTCCTCTTTCTCCTTCTCCTCTTCCCCCTCCTCGTCCTCATCCCCCTCATCTTCCTCTTCCTCCTCCTCCTCCGCCTTCTCCACCTCCTCCCCCCTGCGTCGTCCGCCCATCTTCGCCGCCTCCAGCTCCACCTCTGCATCCTCCTTTTCCTCCGCCCTCGTCCTTTTCGTGCCAGTCCCTCCGCCCGCCCTCCTCTTCATCGTCATCTCTCCGCGGTGGAGACTTTTCTGTCTGGACCTGCTTCGCCGAAGGCCATCCAACCAAACGTCTGGCGCCAGCTGCAGTTCCGCGTTCGCTGTCCGCCTCAACCTTTTGCATCCCCCCCCGTCGTCGAGTTGCGACGCGCGGACGACGGTTGAAATCCTTCTCCTCTTCCTTTTCCTCTTCCTCTTATTCCCCTATCACGTCGAGGGGTACGAAACTAGCAAAACAGTTTTTTTTTTTTCGAAAAGCGTCATCCGCAAAACAACAGTGGGAACTGGGCGGTGTCAACATGCCAGGGCGATTTGGTGCCATGCTATGCCCACTGAGGCCGCTAGGGCCCCAGTGGCGCCAACGCTCGAGCAGGCGTTCTTCGACGTCGTCACAGCGGAATTTTCTCCGAGGCCTCATCCGAAACATGTCAAACAGGTTTTTTTTCGAATTGGGGTTTTCGCGTGACTTGCAGGCCTAGAGGTGTGTTCGCGCTTCGAAAGGGTATTTCCTTTTTCCCGTGGGGATTGCATCATTGCGCACTGGAGGGGGGGGATGTAAAGACCCTCTGGGGGCCGGAAAGTGTGAGGACCCTCTGGGGGCGGGGAAGCGCACGGCAGCGTTGTTGCACATTTTGTGTTCAGTCTGGTCCTCGTCCTCCTGCTCCTCCACTCCTCCCCCTCCCTCCTCCTCCCCCTCCCTCCTCTTCCCGTAGCCCCTCCTCCTCTGATCCGCCGGTTATCCTCTTCTTGTTTCTCTTCCTCCTCCTCCCCGCCCCCCTCCCTTTCCTCCACCTCCTCATCCTTCTCCTCCTCCTCCTCATCCTCCTCTTCCTCCTCCTCCTCATTATCATCCTTCTCTTCCTCCCCATTGCCCTGCCTTGTGTCGATGTGGGGTTCGCCTGCGCTTCCGTCGGTTGTCGAGTGGTCTAGACACCGCCCTGTGCATCTGCGCTTCTCTGAGCGGCTGGTTCGTTCTGCTGTTTCCATCCCTTCACAGGCAGAGCCGCGGGCATTCTAAGTCGTCGTTCCCGCGAGTTGTTGACTGTCCCTGTGAGTTCCTCATTTCTGGGCCTGCGCCGTCCCACCGCGCGCGAGCTGTGGTGCGCGCCAACGAGCCCCACCGGTCGGAGTTCGGGGGCGTCTTCGCAGCTGTCGACGACGTCCGCCGCGGAGCAGGACGAGGCCGCCCGACGCCCGCCGGGCCTTGCCTCGTGAAGGGGGGAAGGATTGAGGCGGGGGAGGGTGGAGGAGAGAACAGTGTCGGCACGATCGAACCAGGGGGAGCGAGGGGAGAGGGACATCAGGTACTCGAGGAAACGCAGGGAGCGTGAATCAGCGACGGGTCTCGCTTCCTTGCGAAGCCGATGCGCTCCTTCACGCGGCAAATACGGTACGACCGAACCGGGGGAAAGGGGGGGGAGGAGGACGTTCGGCACGATCGAGCATCGAGCTGGATTTTCAAGGGAGGGCAACCACAGATTTCGTAAGGCGCGAGGAGAAGCAACGGGCCCTGCCTCCTCACGCCATCGGCGCGCTCCGCCACGCGGCACTGCCCCCCGGGCCGCTCCGCCACAGCTCGGGGAGCGCTTCCACCCGGCCCGTGGATTTGGCGGCCACGCGCCAGATCCACGGATCCGCAGTCCATGCCGGCGCGTTCCCGGAACAGGGATCAAGTCAGAGCCCCGAATCATCAGGGGTAACTCGGGTCAGGGTTAACTCGGGTTCGTTTTTCGGGAATCCGAACCCGAGTTACCCAGGACCCGAGTTACCCCGGATAATTCGGGCGTCCAGAGCCCCACATCATCAGGGGTAACTCGGGTCAGGGCTAACTCGGGTTCCTTTTTCGGGAATCCGAACCCGAGTTACCCCGGACCCGAGTTACCCCGGATAACTCGGGCGCCCAATCAAGACGGGCAGCAGTTGCTGTGAGTGTTGGGCAGGACTCGCTGTCGGCGTCGCCGCAGCTGTCGTCCGCTCGAGACCACGCCTCGCCTGCCCAACAGCCAGCGCCGCCGCGTCGAGACCATCTCTGCTTCTGGGCATCGTGCAAGTTTACTCATACCCATTTCGGGCGTGCCAGGAAATTGACAAGGATCAAGGAGAAGGATGGACAGGCGGGCTGTTTGTTTGAACATTTCACAATCTGCGTTTGAGGAGGAAGCGGTGGCATCCAGACAAGGCCGTGGAACTCTTTTGAACTCGTTGTTCAGCCACAGTGCTGCTCAGGGGCGGGCTCCGCCAGCGAAGCGAGCACGTACCGAGTGACAACCAGCGCGGGCACACCAGGCTTGGGAAACATCAAGTGCGAATCCGACCTACGCAACAGAGGAGAAGGAGGAGGAGGAGGAGGAGGAGGAGGAGGAGGAGGAGGAGGAGTGACCCGGCCTCGCAGTTGTCTTCGGGTCGCGTTCGCAGGGGGCGGGGGCGGGTGAGCGGCACAGTATCTGCGTTTCGCGCTGCTCTGCTGCACCTAGGCTGGAGTTGCCCCAGTCATCGGGTTTGTTTTGGCCGAGCTTGCGATTCCCGGACTCCAAACGAAGCCAGCTTCTGCCCCGCGACGCCCCTCCTTGAGGGTTTAAGCGGTACAATCGAGTCCAGTCAGTGGCCAGCAGCATCCATGTTTTTAATTTTTTTCCGAAACTTAGCCGGGCGAAGAGTTTCCTGGCACCGTGTAGGACAACTGGCCGGGGAGCTCACTAACGATGCCGTTCTTGGCTTAGAACGCGCGGCGCGAGCGTTTGCAGTGGGGGCGGCGTGGCCTGAAGAGCGCGAGCACTTGCGCGGCGTTGTGCCCGCTCCTCTCTATCAGCGCTGCCAGTGCACAGTTGTTGAGACCCCGCGGCGTCGAGTCTTGGAATTCGCGTGCAATTCTTAGCATACCAGTCAAAGAGCGACTAACAAGTCGCATTTGAAACATTGCTGGGCCGTAGCTTTACGCTACTTGATTGTTTGGTCCCCCCCACCACTCCTTCATCTTTCCTTTCGTGTGATGGAGTTCCACTGGCGCGAGCCCTCGCCCTCTTTCCCTGGCGGGCCTGCGATTCCGATGGGGTGGGGGGAGTTGACTCCAAGCGCCCGCAGCTTCGCTGGGCAGATGTCACCTGTGCCATGCAGAACCTGCATGGTCACGTGGAGTCACGGGTGTCTGTGGCAACGTTGGGCTGATCCCCGAGCTGAGCTCGCTGCACTTGTTGATGTTATTCGGCGTGTTCGTCGTTGTGGGCACTTGGAAAATATCCATCGATCATACGGCTCATGTGAATGTTTTTTTTCAGATAGGGCGAGATCATACGCTCACCCCAGCTAATGCTGACTTGCGGTGGGGACTTTGGCTGGTTGCCAGCGCGAGGGGAGCCAGCCTCTCGCCGCAACTTGCCCCTCTTCACCTCGAGAGGCTAGAAGCGTTGAAAAGTTCTGGAGGCCTTCAGCCGTATCAGGAACATACCAATCGAGCAGCAAATGAGCTAGCTGACAGCGGAGCTGCCTTGTGCCATACTCCAGCTGCCCAGTGTTAAGCATTGCTTGCCTTAGCATTCAGGGCGAAGCAGGTGTTCCTTCGCACTGCTGTGCTCGCCGTGGATCTCGCGAACAAGCCGAGCCCCTTGGCTTGTCCAGACGAGCAGCGTTTTTTTTATTTCAAAATGTAATATGTGGAAGTTTGATAAAAACAACTCGCGTAACTAGTCTGTTGTTTCTGAGTCTAGAGCCAGGTTGCTGGTCATGCGCAGGGTGCGGCCTCCATGCCAGAGGGAAGTCGAGGGGCTTTCGGGGCCGCTCTTGGTCGGCTTTTCCTCGGATAATGCCCTAGCGAGGAGCCCGCTGGCTCGATAGTGGGTTCTCGGTGGGATCAGCTGGGCATAGTGGAGCCGCCTGTTCCAGTTGGACACCCTGCTTTGAGAACCAGTCAGCAGTTTGCGGGGTTTCATGTGCTGCGGTTCAAGGGAGAATGTGTTCTTGCTTGCGGCTTGTGGCGTGGGCCAAACAGCGACCAGCCAATACTCTAGCTGTTTGCGACATGGCATTAGAGCGTCCCCACGAGATCACCCCAACGCAGCCACAAGGTTTTCAAGGGTTCCGCCAAGGTTTGCCTCCCCTGCAGTGTTTTCATTTTTGGAGTCGTAGCCGGCAACCGTTGGTCGAGTCAGATTGCTTACGCCCTCATGTGAGGCCCGTGGGAACGCGGTCGTGCTGCCAGCTAATCTAGTGGAAGAGGAGGTTTGTGACGCAACCTGCGCGGGGATGAACGGCCCTGTTTCTTTTTCCGCCCCAGACAGGTCCTCTCAGTGTCACTGCGGCACGTGGTGGATTCAGTGCGTGCCGATGACGACGAGGCGCCCCTTGTTAATGTTCGGGTGGAGGTGGAACGAAGCTCTTCGGATTCATGCGCCCCCTCTTCTTGCACCACCCTGGTGTTGGGCAGGGTAACGCCTTTTGTGTCCCTGCCAATGTTCGCCATATTTTAATAATATCACAGAGTTCAATGGCTACTTCATCCACTAATTCTAGTCCCGGAATTAAAAGTTTAGCCCGGTGAAGCAGATCTTTATTTAATCGCTTCGCTCATTCCGCCGGCCCATACAGTCTCATGTCTGCCGTTTGCCCGAGGGCCTGGTGTCAATGCGGCGCTTTGGGGGTTCCTGGGGCCGCTTGGGGGACTCCTGGGGCGCTCGGGGGGGCATTTGGGGGGCCTCCTGGGGCCGCTTGGGGGACTCTTGGGGGCCTCCTGAGGGCCCCGTGGGGGCCTCTTGGGGCCTCTTAGGGGCCTCGTAGGGGCTTCTTAGGGCCGAGGGCTCGAAATGTTGTTTCGTGTTCCCTCTCTGGGGCCCCTTTGGGGGCGTTCTTGGGGCCCTCTTGGACCGTTTTGGAGGCTTCTTGGGCCGTCTTCGAGCCCTCTTGGGCCATCTTGGGGCCCTCTTGGGTGCCTCTTGGGCCCTCTTGGGGCGATCTTGGGGGCCTCTTGGGCCGTCTTGGGGCGTCGGGAAGCCGAAAAGGTGGAAGCTCCAAAATCTCTCAAAAACCTATGGAAAAACAATGATTTTTGCCTCCGGGGGCCCTATTGGGAGTGCTCTTGGAGGCCTCTTGGGGCGTCTGGGGGCTATCTTGGGCGTCTTGGAGCGATCTTGTGGCATGTCGGACCCCTCGTGTACCATCTTGGGGGCCTCTTGGGGGCCTCTTGGCCTTTCTTGGGGCTCTCGGGGACGTCTCGGAGCCCTGTTGGTGCGCTCATGGAGCGCTCGGGGGGACCCGGCCGGGACCCGGCCGGGACCCGGCCGGGACCCGGCCGGGGACCGGCCGGGACCTGGTCGGGGTACTTTTCGTCCGGGGACCCCCAGGGGCCGCCCCGCGCGCGCGAACTAGAAAATTGTTAACCAGTTACCGGAGATCTTAGCACGCCTCTGGCCCGTTGGGCCGGCGAATTAAAACAACATCGCCTCCCTCCTCCTCCTCCTCCTCCTCCTCCTCCTCTTCCTCCTCATCCTCCTCCCCCTCCCTCCTCCACCCTCCCTCCTTCCTTCATTTCTTCTTGTCTTCCTTCGCTCTCCTCCTCATCATCATCAGCAGCATCATCATCGTCGTCGTGCTCATCATCGTCATCTGTGCCCCACCCCCTTTTTGCCAGGAGGCGCCCAGCGGCGCCCGCATCCGCGCCGTCTTCCACCTGAAGGCCTCCCTGGCTCTGGCTGTGCTGGAGGAGTGGGCCCTCGGCCCCGCCGCGGCGGCTCGCGACGCCAGTGCGGCGGCCCCCTCCCCCGCGGGCGGAACGCGTTCGAGGCCGCCATCCTCGCGACGGCGGCGCCGCGCGACGATACGCCGACGGCCTCGAACATCTCCCCCGCGAAACCAGTTTCGGCGAGACGACGCAGAGAATCGCCAGCGCTCGCGGCTCTGAGATCCTGGCGTTGCACTCCTGTCGAGCCTGGCGGCTCTGCCTCATCTGGGGCCCTGGGGCCCTCGCCGATCGACCCGGCCCGAAAAAAATGGCGCGGAGCCCCTGGGAGTCGGGGGGGGGGGGGGGGGCGTGAGCTGCGTGGCGTCGGCGCCAGCTTCGCCCGCCTGCTTTCGCCGCCGGCCGGCTTCGCCGACGGCTGGTCTCGCCGGCAGCCGTTCTCGCCGGCGGTCTGCTTCGCCGGCCGCGGGTCTGGCGGGGCGCGTTGGGGGAGCGAGACCCTCACGGGCGGGTCGACCGACGGCTGATGGGCCTGTTTTCCACCACCGCCACCATAAATCGGAAGAGGAGGGGGTCCTCCTCCTCCTTCTCCTCCTCCTCCTCGTCCTCCTCCTCCTGCTCCTGCTCCTCGTCCTCCTCCTCCTCCTCCTCCTCCTCTTTGCGGGAGCCCCCCCTGGTCAAGAGACTGCAGCCCCAAGGGCTGTAGACGACTCTGTCCGCTTCGGCAGGCCCCCCCGATCCGAGCAGGCAGGCTGGGCGGGCGGGACCTCAGCGGGCGGGTCGGGCGGGCAGGCTGAGGAGTGAGGGTCAGTTGCGGGAGGAAGGAGAAGGGCTGTGGAAGACGATCTGATGAAGAGGAGGCGTGTTGCCAAATCATTTCTAGATGTGTAGACAATGTTTTAAGCAGGTTCTAAACATGTACAGGCATGGTTTAAAAAATGTTTAAACCATCTAAACCTGATTTGTATGATCAAAGCCATGTGCGCTTCCATGGTCGGGCTGTTAGAGTATCCATGGTCATGGCATCAACAAGAGAAGGGGGAGGGAATGTAGACAGGAGGACTGGGTAGGGGAAGGGAGGGGATGAGGGAGGGACGAGGGCGCAGGGATGGGAGGAGGGAGTGGAACGCAGGAAACGTCAGGGGGGCTTCTCTCGGGCTCGGGTAGGGCTTAGCACACGATGAGGGAGGGAGGAGGAGGAGGAGGAAGACGAGGAGGAGGAGGGGAAGGCTGAGGAGGAGAAAAGGGAAGTGGAGGAGAAGGAGGAGGACGATGAGAAGTAGAAGGAGAAACATGGTGATGCTGGCGATGATGAAACAAGACTTGCGATAGCGGTGCTGATAGTTGTTGTGATGATGATTGTGGAGATGCTGCTGCTGCTGATGATGGTGGTGATGAGGATGATGATGACGATGACAATGACGATGACGATATTGATGATGAATATGATGATGATGATGATGATGATGATGATGATGATGATGATGATGATGATGATGATGATGATGATGATGACGATGGTGCTGATGCTGATGCTGATGCTGATGCTGATGCTGATGCTGATGCTGATGCTGATGCTGATTACGATGCTGATGCTGATGATGGTGATGGTGATGGTGACGGTGATAGTGATGGTGACGATGAGGGTGATGATGTTGAGGCTGATGATGATGGTGATGCTGCTGTTGCTGATGATGATGACGTCGACGTCGACGATGATGATGCTACTGGTGATAATGATGATGATGATGATGCTGATGATGAGGGTGGTGGTGGTGATGCTGATGTTGATCATGCTGAAGATGATGATGGTGATGATTATGATGATGGTCTTGATGCTGCTGCTGCTGAGGACGACGACGACGATGATGATGACGATGATGATGATCATGATGATGATGCTGATGCTGATGATGATGATGATGATGATGATGATGATGATGATGATGATGATCGGAGGTGAGGGGGTGAGATCGAAGTGGAACGGAGAGCCCCCCACCGGGAAATCGGTTTCGGTTTCGTGTTCGTGTCGTGCGTGCGGGCGAGGCGAAGCTGCGTGGGCGGGCGAGAGGAATTCACTCTGCTGTCGCTAGGGGTCCGCCAACACAAATGTTTCCCCCCCCCGGGTGTTGTCAAGCGGTGGCCCACATTTTCCCGTCGGTTGCCCGCCGTTGTCCCGTCGGTGTCCCGCCGTTGTCCCGTCGGTGTCCCGTCGGTGTCCCGTTGGTGTCCTGTCGTGAGATCGATAGTGAGATCGACTGTGAGACCGATCGTGAGATCGATAGTGAGATCGATAGTGAGATCGATAGTGAGACCGAATGTGAGATCGATTGTGAGATCGATTGTGATATCGATTGAGATCGATAGTGAGACCGAATGTCGGTTGCCCGCCGTTGTCCCGTCGGTGTCCCGTCGGTGTCCCGTTGGTGTCTTGTCGTGAGATCGATAGTGAGATCGATAGTGAGATCGATCGAGTGATATCGATAGTGAGATCGATAGTGAGATCGATAGTGAGATCGAATGTGAGATCGATTGCGAGATCGATTGTGATATCGATTGAGATCGATAGTCAGACCGAGTGTGCGATCGATTGTGAGATCTATAGTGAAACGGAATGTGAGATCGATAGTATTATCGACAGTGAGATCGACTGAATCAGATCGATAATGAGATCGGTCATGAGACCGATTGTGACATCGATAGTGAGATCGATAGTGAGATCGATCGAGTGATATCGATAGTGAGATCGATAGTGCGATCGATCGCGAGATGTATTGAGTGACACGTTGGTTCCTCCTCCCCCCTCACCTCCTTATCACCCGAAGGTTGGTCGTATAGGTACTGATGATGCTTTGTTATTGTTATTAACGGCAGGAGCATAACCTGTGATGCTACCAAAGAAAACAGCATGTCAAGTGCGAGCGATACCTGCCAGTCATTGCTGGAAGCATGGCCGTGCAGCACTTTCCAACTCACCGCTTGGGCGCGTTGACGGTCGGCCTCGTCGTGCTCCTGTCTGGCCCGGGGAGGCAGAGGAGCACGCGATGCCACCAGCATCGCGCGACACGCCTTCGACCAGCATGCCACGTGATCAATCGCTGCCGCCCGCGACGCGAACAGCTTCTTTTGCACGCGGGGCAGCGTGCGGAGGCCACACACTGTCGCGCAGGAGCCGTCCTGCCATGGCTCCCGTGCTGGGGGGAGCGCAGGGCAGCCTCGCTTACGCAGCAAGCATCGTCCTCGCCATCGCTCGGACGTCCATTCCCTGTGTTTTTCCGGTTTCGTGCGTGGTTTTTCTCGCCAAATTATCAAGGATGCTCCTCGATGGTTCTCGCCGAGGAAGAACAATGCACACGTCCGAGCGATGCCAGGCGTCTGCGCTGCGGAGGGCACAAAACATGCAAGGCCAGGGGAGCAGACTCGGGAGGATCCGAAGCTCTGGCGTCGTAACAAAGCAGGCGTGGGCGCCTCGGGGCCCAGCCTGGAGAATGGGAGCTCCGCCCGAGACGGTGCGTGAGCCCGGCCAATGGGGTCGCCGCTCCTCCTCCTCCTCCTCCGCCTCCTCCTCCGCCTCCTCCCCTTCCTCCCCCCCCCCCCTCCTCCTCCTCCTCCTCCTCCTCCTCCTCCTCCTCCTCCTCCCGAGGCAGGGGTCGGGAAGACCTCGCAGTGCCAGGGAGGCCTCGTGAGCCCACTGCAAATCACAGGCCAGCTGGTCCGAAAAAATGCGCTTTCGAAAACAGTGGTGCCACGAGAGCCTGTGGCCTTGCGCCGAGCACCTTAAAAGCTGACCTCTCAAGCGAAGCACCAGTAGGTGCAAGCCGGTGGGGAGGAGCTAGAACGCCTCAAGCACGCTGGCATCAGTTCCGTGTCCTGTGCTCTGGAATCGACCTTTGTTTGCCACCTGTCTGAGAATGCGAAGCTGGGCCTCATTCAAAAATCGCACTGCGTCGGCGTGCGGGGCGAGCCACGTGTCCGTGCCGTAGAACAGACGCGAACAACAGAGGGAGTGTGCCAAGCTCAGCCTCGTCGAAATCGCGATGCCAGCGTTACCAACATAAAGACCCGATGGGCCATGGGATAGTAAGCAGCAAGGCACTTGGATGCTTTGGCCCTGGCATCAGCGATGTTGCTGCTGGACGCTGTGCGACATGTACCAACGTGCTTGTTCTAACTCACGACTCCGATACGTCGATTGCCATCAGTAGTAGCAAGAAAATGGCGCTTAACAGTGGCGTCGAACAGCTGCGCCTTGGCCTTGCGAGTGCCTTTCCCAATGAGAGATATGGTGACCTCCGTTTTGCCGGCGGCTAGGTTGTACTCCATACCGCAGCATTTGAACCAATCAAGAGTGATGACCAGCATCACGCGGGAGTTTTGCACGAGTTGCCGCGGGCCCGCATGCAGAAGCATGAATAGCACATCGTGGACGTATTCAATGTCACACAAGGTTGCAAGCGCGTCGCCTTTGGTCTCGGGCTGTATGGCGCCGTCGGCCAAGGCCCACAGGCATGGTTGGGAGCCCTCGACCTCGTGCAGGATGCCTGCATCGGAGGCTCGCGTACGGATCCTGCCCAAAGCGTATTCGTAGACAACGTTGAAGATCAGCGCGCCTATCTTGCAGCTTTGCCGAGCCCCCTTCTTGGTGCGGACGACGGCGGACGAGCCGCGCAGAGGTTCCTGGGAGACACCAGGCCAAGTAGTTTGATGCAGGTCGTCAACCATCTGAGAAACTGCTGGGGTCACCCCGGCATCCACCAGTAAATGAGAATGCTCAGCAGTGCAATCACGCACTGCGCCGCACACGTGCTCGGGGAAGCCGATGTCGCTCAAAGCCTGCGCGGTAGCAGCTGGATCCTTGGAGCGACTGCACCAATGGCAAGCTCCCTGCAGACCGTATCAAACGCCGTTGACAGGTCAACAAGAATCCGAGCGAAGGAAAATCGGAGCGAACGGGCCAACTCCGAGTGCAGCTCAGCCACGCAACCGGCAATGGAGGTACCTTTGCCAGCAATGGCACCGCAGTGAGTGTCAGCAACAGCTCGCTGGTCGTGCTCGGCAAGGGCGTCCTGCAGCGTGGCACCGCGCACCTTGCCAATGTGAAACTGAATCAAAATACTTCTGCTGTTAGTGGTCACTGCCTTGTCCCCCTTCGTTTCTATATGTCCTGCATGCGACCGCCCTTCAGCGCCAGCGGACAACGGCCGAACTGGCAAGCTGCATTCGAGGCAGCTTGGGCGAGAAGTGCAGCTGGCTCGCATCCAGCTTTCGAGACTGCAGGTCCGAGGCCATGAGGTCTTGTGGAACTTGGGAACGACGTGCTCGAAGCCGACGCAGTGCGACAGCCTCGCGTCGGCGAAGAGCTGGCAGATCGGAGCAACCCTGGTGAGGGAGCAGGAGCATTTCTGCCAGATCCCGATGGCAGGCCGTCGCCTCAAGACCAAGCACCACTTCGACCAGTAGCATGCGGGATCCTGGGGGCGGAAGGCTCGTCGAGCACGACGTAGTTCAGACCGCAATGCCGGAGGTGAGGATGCCCGCTGCGCTGTGTCCCAGGACGTCCAAGGCTTGCGAAGGTGAGTGGCGTCGGCCTCAGTGTAGCAACAGACAGCTTCAGGATGAGGGTATCCAGACAACGTGCTTGCCAACCTCTCCCACAAGTACTGTTGACAAAGATGCTGAGCCTCAGGCGAATCCATCTATGAACGACTCGAGCGCATCGCTGTATGTGATCACTCCCCTTGGCACTTGCGAATGCGAACACAGTATCGCTGAAGGTGAGGGCGTGGTCAATAAAATCCGTGCCACTCAGGTATATTTACATATCCACCCTGGCGTCGGGGCAAGTTACGCACGGATCATTTAGATACACGCACATAGTCAATGCGGCGACCTTCATGTTGATTGCGACCACCATACCACATAGGGAGCATCGTCTGGGTGTTCATGCTGGCGGGGTACCAACAGTTTTCCTCGAGCAGATGGCGCATCGCAGTGCCGTTCTCGTTCCCCACTGTGCCATCGCGGAAAGGAAGAGCCGAGCTTTTCCACGGCGCCCATGGTGGCGTTTGCGTCGATCGTAAGGAAGACCAACCGAGATTTGTCGAAATAACGGAGTTCAGAACGGAGCGCTTGCCAAAAAAGTCGCCGATCTTCGGCTGGAGCGATGTTGGTGGGTGCATGGGCAACGACGTGCGCGAGCACACAAGCTCTGACTATCCACAAGCACCGTAAGGAGACGAGGAGAGTGAGCACGAGGTCGAACCTTGGCTCCACGAACCCGGTCTTTGCTGAGCCAGCTCTCCACACACACAAAAAGCCATCAGACTGCGCACCCGAGGTGCTCACGTGATAATGGACTTGGTCTCTATTGACCGAGCCTTGGATGCAAGATTCTTGCACGCCCATTACCGCGTACTGACGCTCCAAAATGCCAAGTCGAGCTACTCGATTTTGGCGCTGGCGTTAATGTCTACCTTGATGGATCGCCGAACCCCAGCGGGGTCCAACGTGTTCACGTTGGCAGTGGCCACCTTTAGCTTCAATAGGGCTGGAACGTCGCCGACGTGGGGGTCGGAGGCTTGTCACCGAGGCGACTTGTCGTTGGAGTCGGGATCGGCGGCTTGATGCCGAGGCGACTCACCTTTGTTGTCACCTGCGCCCCAAAGAAGTCGACCAACTTGCGCTTGGGTGGCTGCTTGCCGTTGTGGCGCTCTCTGCTCGGGACGCTCGGCGGCAGCAGGGGCTGGAGAGCCTGCTTCCCATGGACGCGTGTCGGAGGGACTCCCTCTGCAGCCATTGCCACCTTGGAGGTATGAGCCATCGACTGCACGAAGCCTGGCACGAGCTGCTCGGAATGGGCCACAGTCTGCTCGATGTGCCCGGGATCTGCGTGCCCTGACGCTTGGAGGGCCTCGACGGCAGCGTCGGCGGCCAGCTGTAGCTGCTCGAGCGCATTGCTGGCTGCTACGCTCGGGGCCATGGGTGCGGCCATGGTCTGGCGGCGAATCTCCTCGACGTCCTCCTCGAGCTGCTGGCACTCCACAGCAGCAGACTGCACGGCCTGCTGCGCCGTGGCGAGCGCCTCCTCCGCCGCCGCTTTGCGAGCTCTGGCCCTCGTCGGCGCGGCTACGGCACCGTCGAGTCTGGCGCCGGGAGGGGCCGCGCTCGGGATTCGAGCGACCACATCGTCGAGCTGCGATTGCAACTCCTGCTGGGCGGCAGCAGTCTCCAGAAGCTGAGGAAGGGCGGCAATGGTCTCCTCCAGCTGCCGGTTGGCCTCCTTCAGGTCCATCAGGGGCTTCTCGGATCCGCCGGCCGCGACGGGTGCCGCAATCGCTGTGCTGGAAGGTGTCTGCTGCGGTGCAGAACTCAATCCAGCTTGGGCCATAAGGGAGCCCACGTGCTGCAACTGAGCCCTGACTGGATTTCTGGAGACCTGCTGCGGAACGGTGGAGGGCGTCGAGTAGGTAAGCGCCTCCACATAGGTCCTGCGCATACCACACGTGGTGTACGCATTCTTGGATGTGCACTGCGAGCCACAGCCACGACAGTGCCAGGAGCGTGATGCAGCCCCAGAGCCAGAACACTTGGCGCCGATCCAATGCCACTGTCCAGAGGGATCTTTGAGCCAATCCGAAATAGGATGAGCGTGGGCGCGCGGAGGGGGTTCCCACGAGCCTGGAGGCGCTCCCGTCTTCCATCCGGACTTTGCTGCTGCGTCCCATGGCGCCATTCACCCAAGAAATAACGTCGAACAGCAGGCGAGTGCGGGCAGATTCAGGGTCAAAATTGCGACCCAGGTGCGGGGTTGTAGACTTACGTTCTGGCTCAACCTTGAGCCACCATGAATGCGGATGATGATGCTGATGATGATGCTGCTGATGATGATGATGATGTTGATGTTGATGATGATGATGATGATGATGATGATGGTGGTGATGGTGATGATGGTGATGATGATGCTGATGATGATGATAGTGATGCTGATGATGATGCTGATCATTATGCTGATCATTCTCAGGATCATGATCATGATGACGTTGATGATGATGGTCGCGATGCTGATGTTGATGATGATGGTGATATTGATGATGATGATGGTGACGAGGATGATGCTCATGATGAGGATGCTAATGATGATGATGATGATGATGATGATGATGATGATGATGATGATGATGATGATGATGGTGATGACGATAATGATGATGATGATGATGATGATGATGATGATGCTGATGATGATGCTGATGATGATGTTGATGATGATGAGGATGATGATGATGATGATGATGATGATGATGGTGATGAGGATGATGATGATGATGATGATGATGATGATGATGATGATGATGATGATGATGATGATGATGACGATGGTGCGGATGCTAATGATGTTGATTATGATGCTGCTGCTGATGATGCTGAATATGCAGATGATGAGGATGAGGATGATAATGAGGATGTGGATGAGGATGAGGATTGGGATCTGAATATCATGGCAATCGATCAGAATGTGTATGGGTATCAGGAGGAGGAGGCGGAGGAGGAGGAGGAGGAGGAGGAGGAGGAGGAGGGGGAGGAGGAGGAGGGGGCGGCAAGGTATTGATGCATTGGTGAGCTTGCCGAGACGCTGCGCGGCGCGGGCAGGCGGACCCCTCGCTCGCCCCACGGCTCTCCCCCCCCCGGGGACACGCGGCCCCCCTCCGAAGAGCAGGGGCCGCGGTTGGGAGGGCGGGCAAACGGCAGATCCACCTCCCCTCCACCCGCCACTCACGACGCTCACGGCGTGAGGACCTTGGCCTCCACGCCGACGCCCGCGACGCAGGCGAAGGGCTTCGTTACGCGTGCCTCTGCGCTGTCGATGGCGCCGAAGCGCGGCGCGCAGGGCGTCCTGTGTCGAAGCCGAGCTCTCCGCGCTGCCTGCTCGAGCTCCGCCCCAGTCTCCTCGGACCCAGGCTCATCCTCGTTGGCGGCGTCGGCGGCTTGTGGCGGCTGCAGTGGCCCAGGGGGGGGGCGGGGCGGCCCCCACGCGGCGAGGACGGCGACAAGGAGGGCGCCGGCCTGCCCCTCTGCCTGCTGGTGGACCTCGGGGGCGCCGCGCCTCCGCGGCAGCTGGACATCCCCCCCCCGGCCGGCCTGAGAGACCCCTGGCAGGGTGCCGATCGGCGCGCCACTGCGGCGACGACCCGCGCCGCCGCCGCCTCGAGGCTCGAGGCTCGGACCGAGCCTCGATCCTCGGGGTTCGAGCCTCGAGGCTCCAGGCTTTGTGGCCTTCGCGGGCCCTCGTCGTCGCCACCGCCGGACGCAGCTCGAAAAGCGGGTGCGTGTGGGCCCCAGCAGGGGTCGGGGGCCTCATGTCTTTAAGCGGACTTCGAGACCTCCGACGATCCGGTGCGAGGGCTTCTGCCCAGCGTGTCGCTGCACCAGTTCTGGCCCACCCCGCCTCGGCGCGATGCACTGTCGCAATGCACTGTCAACTTCCCGGCGCCCCCCCGAGCGTCCCCGTGCCGAGCTGTGCCTCCTGCCGAACCTCCCCCCCGGCGGGGCGGAGCGACGCGCTGTGCGCTCGCAGGGCCGCCGCCGCGACGCGCTACGCAAGAGAGTTCCCGGCCGTAGGAGTTTTTTCCCCACATCCTAAGTGGGGTTCTTGTTTTCTCTGCACACCCTCCGCGCAGGATCTCCTCTTCCTCGCTCTCCTCTGCTCCTCTTTGCTTCCTCCTCCGCATCATCATCACCATCACCATCACTCCCCACTCATCATCATCATCATCATCACCATCAGCATCACCATCACCATCCCACGATCACTCACCATCATCGGCATCGAACGATCATCATCATCATCATCATCATCATCATCATCATCATCATCATCATCATCATCATCATCATCATCATCATCATCATCATCATCATCATCATCACTACTCGCTGACTTGAGGCCTGAATATGGAGGAAGTCTCGAGCGGGAGCCTCGTCTGTGAGTGAATTCTGAGGAAGTCTCAGGCGGGAGCCCCCTCCCTATGGGGCCCGCACTTTATGTTTGAATCCGAGCGGGTCATCCGCAACGTGCAACTGTCGTCACTTTTGGGCTCTTGAGACTTGAATATGGATTATAGTGTGCTGTTAACAACTAAGGGGGGGGGCTCCCTTTCTGCCCTTCCCCCCCCCGTCCCCCCCCCCTGTGTTTTGGAAGTTCCCCCCCCTTGTTTTGGAAGTTCCCCCCCGCCCCCCCCCCCCTCTTGCGCCCCCCCCTCCCCCCCTGTTGTGGAAGTGACCCCCTTGTTTTGGAAGTTCCCCCCCGCCCCCCCCCCCCTTGCGCCCCCCCCCTCCCCCCCTTGTTGTGGAAGTGACCCCCCTTGTTTTTGGAAGTTCCCCCCTCATCCCACCCCGCCAGCCCCGCGCCCGCCCTGTCATCTCTCTTGATTCAATGCCCTAGTAACCCTCGTAACCCTCGTGCCCCACCCACTCCCTAACCCCCCCTCACGACCATCTCCCCGCCCTTGAATCATCCTAACCAACTTACCATCACCTTAATCCTTAAGCCGGTTGACCTCTCCCAAGAGGGCCCTGAGAGGGGCCGGCATGGCCCATGGGCCCCGATTTGAGCTTCGTAGGCTCCATCACGCGTGTCGCACGCATGACCTCCGCCACCTTGACCCTCAGGCGCCCCCGCCTCCTGCTCATCATCCGTTTCCTCCTGCTCCCCCCCTGTTTCCCCCCTCCTGCGCTCGCATTTGCTGGGCCCCTCGTTCAACTGGAGCCTTTGTGGCTCAGCCACACCGCTTCGCGCGGCCCCGCGCCCGCCGCCCTCGTGGCGCAGAGGGGGGGGGGAGAGTCACGTGGCCTCGCGCCTCTGGTTCGCATCGTGGAAGGGGCCCGCCCCGCTCGTGGACGAGGGAGCGGACGGCGCGGGCCAGCCTATATCATATAGGCTGGCCCGCGCATTCCTATAAGCTACATGCTATATATATATATATATATACACACTATATATATATATATATATATATATATATTATGCGCGGTGTCACGTGCCCCTTCCCCCGCCCCGACTCCGCCAGAATGCCCCGGCGCTTCTCCTCGCGCCGCCTGTGCACCAGGGGAAAATCCTGGAGTAGGAAGGACAAGCACGCCCGCAAGGCCCGGCAGCGACTGCAGGCCCAGCAGCGACTGCAGGCCGACGTCGTGGGCTTGCGGGGTTGCCTCCCAGAGGCCGTCGTGGGGGGTAGTGCGGCCTCTTCGGGGCCGTGGTCGACGGGTCCGAGAGGGTTGGGGCCAGCTGGGTGGCTAGACGCGGCCTTTGGTCGCCTCGACGGCCCCGTCGCCCTCGCCGACGCCTCTGCGGTTGCCGCGAGCGCGGGCGTCCACGTCCGGAGGGGGGGGGGGGGGGGCGAATCCCTTGAGCCCAGCACCGTCACTTCCCCCCTCTCCTACTCCTCCTCGCCCTGCCCCCCCCCCCTACCTTCCACCTCGTCCTCTGGGGCCACCTCTCCGCTCCCTGCGCCTCTGCGTCCTCCGCCTCCTCCTCGTCCCAGTACCCTGCTCTTCCTCCGCCTCCTCCTCCTCCTCTCTCCTCCTCCTCCTCCTTTTCCTCCTCCTCCTCCTCCTCTCCTCCTCCTCCTCCTCCTCCTCCTCCTCCTCCTCCTCCTCCTCCTCCTCCCCCTCCCCCTCCTCCTCCTCCTCCTCCTCCTCCTCCTCCTCCTCCTCCTCCTCCTCCTCCTCCTCCTCCTCCTCCTCCTCCTCCTCCTCCTCCTCCTCCTCACCCCCCTGTGGACAATGAGGTCTGCCCTGGGGGTAGCGTTTCACCCCGGGACAGTTTTTGATGGTCCTGGGGCCCGGCAGCGGTGCGCAGACGCCGAAACCTTAGGTTTCGGCGTCTGCGTGCCGCGAAGGTCGCCACGACCAGGCGCGCGCAGCGCTTGGTGTCGACCGCCTTCAGCGTCGTGCTCGACCAATTCTTACTGGCTGCTCGCAAAGACATCGTCGATCGGGCGACCGCGGCGGGTGCGCCAGGCACCTCCTTCTCTTCCACTCCTCCACGAATGCCGCATTCCACGATCCCCCCCCTCCTCGAGTTGGGTTCATGGTCATCAAGCGCATGTGGGATGAAACGAGCATGACCGTGGCCGTCCGGAACGCTGAACTGGCCAAGTTCCTTCCAGCGTTCGCAGAGGCTGGGTCTCCTCGTCCTCGTGCTCCTTCTCCTCCTCCTCCTCCTCCTCCTCCTCCTCCTTCTCCTCCTCCTCCTCCTCCTCCTCCTCCTCCTCCTCCTCCTCCTCCTCCTCCGTCCGTTCCCCAGTCCATGGTGGAGCTGCCTACGATCGCTAGCAGTGGCAGGACTGCGACGTGGGAGTTGTTTCGTTAATGTCGGCCTCCAATGCCCCCCCGCCCCACAACGGGCCCTGGGGCCGTCGCAACGACCCGGGATCGCGCGCTGGCCCCAGGGAAACTCCGGACTTCGGGAGGCCGACGTTTGGGGGGGGATGGGGCCTTCGGTCCGTCGCACCCCTTCCCAGAGGAAGCACTACGCGGTGCAGTCGTTCCAGCAGCAGTGCTTCATGCGGTGGGGGCCCTCCGAGGACGCGAGGGCGCGAACTGGCCCTTCCCCCCGCCCTCGCCCCCGCCCCGCCCGCCACTTGCCCGACCCGCCTGCGCGCCCAACCCGCCGCCGTCCACTCTGGACGCCCGAAATGGGTACGGAAAGAATGGGTACAATGCCCAACAGCAGTTCCTTTTCGTTTTGAACAAGACTCGCTGTCGGTGTCGCCGCGGCCTGTCTCCATTCGAGACAGGAGGCCGCCGGCCCAACAGCGGCCGCTGTAGGTTTGGCACACCACTTGTTGTTGGGCATTGTACCCATTTTTTCGGTACCCTTTTCGGGTGTCCAAATCCACGATGGCGGCGGGGCGGGCGAGGGGGGCGGGCGAGCGGGCCAGGGGTAGTGGGGGGGAACGAGGCGGCCTACGGGGTGGGGGCCCAGGACGAGTCCTGCCACCTGGCCGTGCCGATGCGGATTATTCCTTCGACGACTGCATCTGCCATTTTCTCTGGGCTGAACGGATCATCCAGGCACCTCTCCCTGGAGGCGCTCTCCGACATGGCCCGCCACGTGCGCTTCATGGCCCTTGTCGTGTTCCCAGATGCCTTGGCGGCGAACCGCCTCTGCAGTCTTTTTTACCACGTATCTCGAGGTAGAAACGGCTTCGTAAACGTTCACTTTCGGAGGTTCGCGCGGATCAGCGCCGAAGGTCTGCTCTGGAGGCGCCGCCGGGGGGAGGGGTCCAACGGCGATCCAATAAGTCCGCGCGGACCTCCGAACGCTTACGTTTACGTTGTCTTTTCTTCCTCGAGTATCCCTGGTTCGGGCCCTGGTGTGGGAGGGGCGATGCGTTTGCCATCAACTCCACATGGTTGGCGACAGTGGGCTCAAGGGGCTGGACATTTTGAATGCCTATTACTGCTGCACGTCCGTGTTCGGGCGCTGGCAGTACAGGGTCAAGCTGACGCTGGGCGCCCAGTTCGGGTCGGGCGACAGGGGCGGCGGGGTTGGGAAAAAGGTGGTGGGGGGTCGAAATCTGCTGAATGCAATTGGTTTCTGCACCGCCGGCAGGCACGTTCCCCGATGCACGGTCGCTCCAGGAGCTGGAATGCGCCGGGACAAGAACAGATACATGATGAGTCTGAGTTGATTCGCTACCCCCGCCCACCCTTTTACTATCCCGCCCACCCCCTTTCGTCCGGCCCGACCAGCGACTATGCGATTCTCTCGTAGTGTACGAAGGTGAGCCGCCAGCGGACGCGGCGGAGTTCAGGGGGGTGGTTCTCCGCAGCACCATCGGGCGGCCCAGCCGCGTTCAGAGTCTGTTGAAGGCGCGGCAGGGGACCCCAGGAGTCAAGCTCCCGAGGCCCCCATCTCCAATTCATCTCCAATTCATGATCTATGATATATAATTATATATATATATAGTCCGATACCATATCAGACCATATCCCGGAGGGTCCTTTCTTTTCCCCTTCCGCTCGCCCCGCCTTCTTCAGGCTCCTCGCTGCCCTGAGTCGTTCCTCGCAGAAATCCTGTTGGGGCTGGGGCTCGCCCTTTAAGGCCACTCGATGGGTCTCTCTGACAGGGCTCGGGATCAGCGTGGGGGCAGGCACTCGTCGTCCCGGGGGCGCCCGCCCCCGTCGCGGGGATTCGGAATTCGCGTAGCCCCGGGCCTCCAGCAGGTGCACGGAGCTCCCTGGCACGATCCCCGGGGGCACGCCAGGCTCGAGCGGACCCAGGTTGAGAAGTGCATGCGGGTGTCTGCTTTTTTCAACGGGTACTGGGAGAAGGATGAACTCCAACACTACTGCAACGGATGCTGCACTTCACGGGAGGAGAGTATCAAAAAAGGAAAGCAGATCATGGCAAACCTTTTCGACGAGTACCTACCGTGCTCGACGATAGCAGCGAACCGATGGAAATCACTCTCTGGAACCGCGGTCCAATTCTCGGTGCTCGTGGGTTTGCACAACGCGCTGCCCGCCGCTTTCAAAGGGACCCTGGGCAGCCCAGATAACCTCGAGAGGGTCGCAGACATGCTCCGCGCGGAGTGCCCCGACCCCGCCGACGCCGTCACTCGCGCGGACCCCGCGCGCGCGGCGGGCGGGGGGTGGCTTTGTCGGGGCCCCGATCTGATCGCTTCCCCTCGAGCAGATCCGATCGCCGATCGGCCCTGCGATCGGCAATCGTAGGGCCGATCGCCCATAACCCATAATTAGATCAGATGGGGGCCCCCCTGCCAAATCCCCCCCCCGTCGGCAGCCCGCGTCAGCCCCAGGACAGCTGGTTGATCAGGATGGGGAAGCGCACGCTGAAGGCCGCCAGGTTCTTCGACGACCGCCTGGCGTCGCGGGCGTCAACCCTCGTGTGCAACATTGCAAGCATGGCAATCGAGGCGTTGTTCAACGCGATCTTCCATGCCGAGTCCCTGGACGAATCCGACAGCGATCACCGCCGTTATTTGTTTCTGGGGATGTGCCGGGACGGCGGTCTCTGCACGAGCACGCACGCGGCGATTGGCCATCTGCTCACCCGCTCGGGCGAGCTCAAGACGGCTGTATCTCGTCTGGGCTGCGGGGCTGACGAGGCGCCGCCCCGAGGGCACTTGGAGAGTGAGGCGAAGGCAGAAGGAGGAGGAGGAGGAGGAGGAGGAGGAGGAGGAGGAGGAGGAGGAGAAGGAGAAGGAGGCGGAGGAGGAGGGGAAGAACGATGAGGCGGAGGATGAGGATGAAGATGAGGATGGGGAGCGGTGGACGGACACTTTCGTGCCGGCCGCTGGTCCTGCCCACCCCCGTGTCCGTCCGTTGGGTTTGCGGGCGCGCGTCGTCGTCCCTGGCTGGGCGCAGCTCGAGAATCAGGTCAGGGCGGCGCCCCGGGCGGGGCCGATGCAGGAGGGGCCCCTGGTGGCCCGGACCCCGCCGGGCAAATTTCCAGCGGCCCCCTCGAGTGCCCCAGATAGCGCCTCCGAGCTCTCTGCGAAGCCTTCTTGGAGCCTTCTTAGATCATAAATCCCCCTTGGGGCCTTCCTAACGCGCGCTGGAGGGCCCTGGGGGCGCCGAGCCCCCCCCCCCCGCCCCGCGCCTCGGGCGCCCCGAGACAAGAGGGCCCCCGGGAGGGTCCTCTTGAGGGCTCCAGAAGGCCTCAAGGGCTTAAGATGGCCTCCAAGTTCATGCCCTCTTGTGTCCCGTCCTCTTGAAGCCCTGGCGGAGGTCGGGCGCGAGCGTGGTTGGGTGGGGGCGCGCTTGCCAGGCTCTGGCTGTTGTACTCAGGGAAAGCGCTGATTTTTACACCAGGTTCACGCTGGTATTCAATGACTTTCCTTATAGACTGATGGGCCTTCTCGACCGCCACGGCCAGGCGCAATTGGACTTCGCGAAGGCCCTCCTGGACCACCCTTGCAAGCGGTGCCACGACTTATTCACCCGCCGGTTGTTCGAGCAAGCCGACACCCCGGACGCGTTGTGCCAGCGCGCCGTGCTGGACATGCTGTCTAGCATAGCGTGCGACCCGCTGGTGATGTCCGTCCACCACGTGGAGCTCATGCACGCCGCCTCTCGGAAAGTGCGTGGAAGGAGTCGGTCAGTCAACGCGCCCCCGAGCGCCCCATCCGACCTCGCAGTCCTCCCGCTGTCTATGAACTTCGAACTCTCTGAATCTGAATTGGAATTGGAGTCGGGCCCCTCTTGGAGACCGCCCGACGCCCCAAGAATGCCCCGCGATGACACCCCGAAGGCCCCAAGACGGGCCCCAGAGCGTCAGGGCGTCATGATGCGGGCCCAGAAGGGCCAGCATCCGCAACGCCGCTTCCTCGTTGGGGACGGGCTTGCGTTCAATTTGCTGTTGTTTAGCGGTTCCCTCTTGGGCTCGTCTTGGGGCCCTCGCGGGGCCCGATTAGGGCCATCTTGGGTTGCGAGAAGGCCCCCCCCACGACGTCCCCCTGTTTCCCGCCCGTCGGACGCACCCATCCTTCCCGCCCGCCCCTGCCGCTCGCCCTGCCCCCGCTTGCCACTTGTCAGGGCGACTGGGGCTCGCCGTCACGCGTCGAGCATCGGCTGCGTCCTCGCGCTGAGGCAGACTCAGGCCGCGTGGCTCCGATGGTTGAGGCGTCGTGGGCTCAAGCGCATGAACAGGAAGATCGTAGATCGTGTCCGGAGGGTGGTGAAGCGTCACATCAAGCAGAAGAGGGCTCGCACAGGCCAGACAGTCTCGCCATGGACCATGTACTTCAAAGAGCGCCATGCCCAGCGGACCGACCAGCAACGCCGCCGCTGCTACAGGGAATGGCTGAAATCTGTTGGTGCCGACTATCGCCGGCTCCCCCCCTCCGAGCTGGCCAGACTGAGCCAGGCCGTCTACGCCCACAAGAACCGCAATGCCGAAGCAGCCGCGGCTCGGGAGCAGGACTTAGACGACATTTTCGAGGAGTTCGATGTTGATCCAACCTGGAGTCCAGACAGGAGCACTCGTCGTCGTCGTCGTCGACGTCCACGTCTTCGTCGTCAGCCGCTGCTCCCGCCGCCGCAGCCGCAGCCGTCGTCGTCGTCGTCGTCGTCGTCGTCTTTGCCGCAGCCCCCGCCGTCGTCGTCGTCGTCGTCGTCGTCGTCGTCGTCGTCGTCGTCGTCGTCTTGCGAGGGGATGTCTGCCCACCCCGTGGAGGCAGAAATTCCCTCGCCGTCTCCCGTTGTCGTCGTCGTCGTCGTCGTCGACGGCGCCGGCGCCGTCGCCAGCGCCGTCGTCGTCGTCGTCGTCGGCGTCGCCGTCCGCGTCGGCGTCGGCGTCGGCGTCGGCGTCGTCGGCGTCGGAGTCGGCGTCGGCGTCGGCGTCGGCGTCGTCGTCGTCGTCGACGCGGCGCTGCTGGGGGGCGCGCCTCAGGACGTCGCCGCTCCGCTGCGGCAACCAGGCGTGGCCGATGGCCCCGTCGACGCTGGAGTCCGCAACGGCCGTCCTGGCGGCTGAGCTGATGCAGCGACGGGCGGATGTCCAAGGGTGTATTTAACCCCCTTCCTCCTCCCCCTTTTTCCACCTCCCCGCGCCTCTCCTCGCCTCTCCTCGACTCATCTCCCTCTCTTCACCTCTTTGCTCTTCCTCCTCTTCCTCCATCCGGGCTGTCCCGGCCCGACGCTCGGCTCCCCGGCGGGGCCGGACTACGATGATCGATCGCTGGGGATTCGGGCCGCGGGCGCTTTCAGCGCATGCCGCATGCCGCATGCGCCTCGCCGAGAGCGTTCTGGGGTCGCCCCGAGAGGCGGCGCCTGGGCACCCCGCCAGCCCTGCCCCCCCCCCCCCCGGAAACGGACGGGGCCGCGCGCGATCGCTGCCGTCGACCCGCCGACCCCAGCCCAGGTTGCAGGGGCCGCTCCTGTCGAACGGGCAACTGTGACGGACATCCTCGCCGAGGCCAAGTGCGACTCGGATTTCTACCGGTCCACGTGCGTCGCGGACTCCCACCTGTTCAACCCCAAAGCTCTTGCCAAACAGAGGCTGCCCATCAGGACATGTTGGCAACTTCACCCGGGCATGTGCCGGAGCGACGCGGGCCCGCACTACGCGGCAGCGAAGCGGACGAAGACAGCGCTGTCCGACACGATTCGAGATATCGTCGGCGAGGACGCGTGGGCAAGAAATCACATCGGCATCGGCAAACTGCCGCCCCACACCTTTCTGATCCCACTCTGTCCTTTACATCGCGGCGACGACGACGGCGGCGACGGTCGCCAGCGACGGCGACGGCGACGATGGATAGGCCACGGGCCGAGGGGGTTAGGAGTTAGGCTCGGCCTGGGGTCTTGATGATGTCGCCTATGATAGGGAAAGGGGGGGTGCGAAATCTGCTGCACGCAGCTGGTTTCGACCCCGCCGCCGGGCCCATTCGTCGATGCATGATGGGCGCCTCCCAGCGCCAGGAGGCGCCAGGAAAATCAGCTACGTGAGCTAGCTGATTTTGACCCCCCCCCGATATCCCCCCTTTTCGCCTGGCCCGACCTCGCAGGAGCTAGGTGCCAAGAAGCCGCTGCGCACGCGGGCCGGCTTCGACCTCTTTGTGATGACAGGTAGTGCCGTCGATCTGATGGCCAGCGCCCGGCACGGCCTGAATGGCGCGCAGAGGTACTTCATCATGTTGAGCCGCTCGGATGACCAGCTGGACCATCAGACGTATACGTTCTGTGAGCAAGTCGTTCCGGGCCCTCCGAGAGAGGAGCTGCCCTTGGCGCTGCGCCTCAGTCAGCAGG